AGACTAAAGATGCAGGCCTGTGCAAGTTAAGACAAGACGACAAATGAAAAGGAGCCCACACCGCGCAACACGCTGCAGCTGGCACAGGACGTGATTTTTCTTTCTAAGCCTGCATAGGATTCCACCCTAACATGGCTGGATCAATACTTCTTATTTCATAGTTCCATACTGGAAAAAGATTCACCTGTTACACTTCCAAGTGGATGTAACAGCGAGGCCAGGACAAGAGGAGGTGGATAGAAGGGGTAATTCGTACACATTATTGACTTGGAGAGAGCGTAATTAAAACTGGTGTTGATCTCTTTGATGGGAAGATTTAAGGATCTTATTTGTCCCCTATTATGTTGCCCGCTTTTAATAACAAGCCACCTGATGAAAGATAGTATCACTGCTTTCCTCCCTTACTGTCTGGTTCTTTCTGATTAATGACCTCCTTTCGCTGACAACCTTTTGACTTCTCCACGTGGGAAGAGGAGAAAAAAAGGGGGGCTGATATAAAAGCCTTGGGTGGGCATGACACCCAAAACAGTTTGTCTTGGAACTTTCTCCCCTTTCCACTGGAGCGACTGACCCTTCTTTTTCTTCTTTATACAGCGAAGAAATGACAAGAGAGGAGCTCCAAATGAATCCTGTTAGGGTAATTAACTGGAGTTCACTTGCCTGATCTTCATTTAGCCTGCCATGAGTAATGAGTGTTGCAAAGTACAAGGAAGAATTTGTGTAACAAAGATCTATAAATCATTGTGGAAACTCGGGGAGGATCCATCATTCACTCAATAAAATGCATTCAGAGGGCCACGGAAGCGCAAAGGCAACGCTGGCTCTCCACCGCATTCTCTCACCATCAGCCAGTTTGGGGGGAATTGTCTCGTTTGTAATTTTTATGAATCACTCTGTGCTTCAGGAGTTCTGTAAAGAGAAGAAAAAATCCAGTTTGAGTGGAATTTGTCCATGGGATTTATCAAGTGATCACAAAACAGGCAGTACTTATCAAGGAAAAAAACCTCATACAGTGGTATTGGCCATAAGAAAAATTCCAAAGCCCATATTATGGCAGTACCTTTATTAAGCCAACCCAGGGACATGAAAATCTCCAGGGGGCTCGCGATGGAGATTTGGGTGCAATGCTATGCATAATTAGATGGGAAAAAAGGCCTACAGTTGGGGAATTCTGGGAGTTGTAGGGCCTTTTCTTTCTCAACATGCATAGGATTGCATTTGTGGTCTCAAAAATGTAGGAGCTAAGCCATAAGAAAAATCTCCCAGCCTATGTTAGGGCAAAATTACCTTTATTAAGCCTATTAAACCAAAAATAGTAGGCAGCCATTTGACTGTAATACAAAAGTCCAAAACCTGCAATGGAATATTTGTTTATAGTATTTATGTCCCCCTATACACAATCAAATCCCTAAGTGTTGATTCTAATATATATAATATATAGAAGTGGTTTTCATAATAGCTTTATTGGGAACCAACCCCAACATGTCAGAAAATAGGGAGCAGAAATCCTAGTAAATTTCACGAGTTTCAAATAGAAGCAATAATTAGCATTTTGTTTGCTCTCTTCAAATCACTTTGCACTCTTTGCTCTCTTCAAATCACTTTGCTCTCTTCAAATCACTTCAAATCTTCAAATCACTTTGCATTGTAATTGGCACACCAGAACAGCACCAGCCAGGTTCTTTCAAGATGTTTTGGACTAGAACACCTGCAATTCCTGGTTGTTGTCCATGCTGGCTTGGGCTTATGGTAGCTGTAGCCCAAAATCTCAAGAGCGCATCTGGTTGACGACTGTAAAGTTTATTTGTGAATGCAAGCAGGGAGCGGTTTGCTGAAAAACCATGTAGTGAACGTGCAGCTGAGGTAAGTTCATAGTTTGTGTAGCGATAACATGAGAGGCAAGGGTTTAAAAAAAATAACTTAAAGCTCTTAGCACCCGCATTTCGATTTTTTTGGAACGAGGGGAGGCCACACAAAAGCTGATTCACTGTTGGGCAAAAGGGGTGGGAGAAGGGAAAGAGGACGTGGCCCTCTGGTGGAGCTTGGAGGGCCAAATGTGGTCCTCGGGATTGAGGTTCTGCACCTCCACGCTAGGCCTCTGTTTGGCTGCTGACAGTATTCAGGGTGGCCCCTTGTGAGTTGTCCCCAAAAAGGAATCGCATCACCAGCAAAGGAACCACATCACCAGAATGTGCATGGCTGTGTCTATTTGCATACAATTTATATGTGCTAATTTATTCGTGAATAGGTACTAGTTGAGAAATGCATATTGTAACGTAAATAGAAATGTAATACATTTGGCCATGAGTTATCAGGCACTCTGTGTGATTTGCTCAGTCTTCCATTGACGTGCAGCTCCAAGACCCAGCTTCTCCTGCTGGTGTTTCTTCATCTTTCAACAGGACTGGTCCTGGGCTGGACATTCCTTTGAATAACGGATGACGTAAAAATAGTGGACAGGATTCTGGCAGCTCTTCAAACAAAGACCTGACTTCTGTACAAGAGGACAGTTAACCGTGGCAAACGGAATGGACCCCTGCCTGAGCACGTTACGTACCAGTTGCTGAGGAGCTTGGGTGAGTGGGACTCTTGCACCCATCCTGGTTGCAGTTTCTTGTGGGTAGCTGGTTTGCCGCCATATGTACAGAGTGGATGGGCCATTAGTCTGATCCAACATTTTTATTGAAGCTTCTCTCCTGGGGCTAACAGCAGCTTTTTTCGCAGGCTTTGTTTCACTGGGACCACACAAAGGAGGAAATTAACCCCCCTTCCATGCCACTGTCTTGATTTCCCCTTGGGATTAACAGTACGAAAATGCAACACAAAAATAAAGCTTTAAGCAATGTGGTCAACATCACCAACTAGTGTAGCTCTATTCAAGAGGACTAGCCTCTTTGCAAATGGGTCTTACAAAGTTAAATTGCCCCACCAACACCAGCCTCTGATTCAATACTCTGCCTTACTTTTGGGCAACTATGCATATGAATCTGGCCTTTTTGCCATATTCCTCCTCTAGATTGCATCGCATGGAATAGTGCAGCAATAAATTATAGAGAGTGGTGGCACTCCTTTTCACAATAGAGTAATTTTATGGGTAGCTGCATCTGCTAAGAGAGAGCCAGTGTGATGTAGTGGTTACAGTGTTGGACCAGGTCTTGGGGGATCCAGTTCTAATCCCCATTGTCTTGGGTTGCTTGCAGGAAAAAAGGTGGAATATTAATAGAATAGCCTTTGAACACATCAGTTCCAAAGAAAGAAAAGTGGATTTGCGGGGTAGCTTGTCAATCTTTATGCAAAATCTGTACTTCCAGGCTTCTGGCTTGTGATGATTTTTAGACAAACCCTCAAGCAATTCGTACACGGGAAAGTGGCAAATGAATTGTTAAATGATTAGCAAAGGACTCTCAGCGGTAGAACGTGGGGTGCCGATTATGGCATTCCTGGAGTGCCCCCAAGTGGCCTTCCGGGGAGTAGCAGCCAGGAAGGCTTCGCGTGTGGTCGCCTACCTTGAAAGAGCGGGCAAAACGCCAAGGGATCAAAGTCTCAGGGAAATTTAACTGCACTTCCGGCTCCTAATTGAACGTGCGCGGGAGTCATAGAATCACAGAGCGGGGCTGCAAGGGGTCCGGGGTCTATCAGGTCCAGCCTTCTGCTTTGTGCAGGCCTCTAACTTCAATCATCGCTCTCCGATGGCTGCCCAGTTGCATGCCGCTGGTGTGGGAGGGCCCACAGCCTCCCTAAGTCATCGATCCCATTTTCATAGTACTGGAACAGTCAGGAATGGGGTCAAGGAGATCTTCCTGATACCCAGCAGGAACCTGGCTTCCTGTAACTCCAGCCTGAACTCCTGAATTTCACTCTGTTCTTTTCAGCCCAGCACTCCAACCTATCAAGACCACCTTGAATCTTGTTCCTATCTTCCATTGCATTAGCCACCGCACTCACCTCTGTGACATTTGCAAATCTGATCATTGTTCCCTGCACTTCCTCATCCAAATGATAAGTAACAATGTTGAAGGGTGCTGGGTCCAGGAATGAACCCTGCCTTGTCCCAGCCATAGAACCAAACCAGGGCATCATGAAATCTGAGGAGTGAACTGGCTCTTTTCTTGCATTAGTTTTCAGGACATTAAACTGCTTATCAGGTTGCAGGCCTTTACTCACTTCTCTGGAAGGAAACCCCATTTAATCTAATTAGTTATTTCTTAATTTCTTATTTATTTAAAACATTCCTATGCCACCCCATCACAACAAAGCCTCGGGGCAGCTCACAAAAAATACAAAAAAACATAAACAATAACAATTTAAAAGAAAAAAAACATTTAAAACCCCCGGTGCATTCCCGGCTGATTTAAAATCCTAATAAATACAATAATTTAGCAATTAAAATAAGTTTTAAATAAAAAGGTCTTAGCCTGGCGCCGAAGAACAAGTAACGATGGCGCCAGGCGGACCTCTCTGGGGAGCGCATTCCATAGATGGGGAGCCACTGCAGAGATGGCCCTCCTCTGGGTACTCGCCCTCCTAATACCCTTCACGGAGGGTTCCCGGAGAAGGGCCTCTCCCGCAGATCTCAAGGGACGGCCGGGCATATATGGGCGCAAGCGTTCCTTTAGATATCCAGGTCCCAAGCCGTTTAGGGCTTTATAGGTCATAACCAACACCTTGAATTGGGCCCAGACTTCAAACTTATTAAAAAGATGTTATTCATTTTGTAGCAAGTCAGCCTTGCCTTTACTGCAAGACTTTATTAAAGTTATTAAAGTGATTAAAGCTTTTCGAGTTTCAGTTCTGAGTAGGCAAGGCTAGAATGGCTTTGTTTAATACCTGCAGGTACGGTCACATGGGTTTATCTCATCTACCTATCTCTACGGCTTTAAAAGGCCGGGTTCTCGGTGGTAGAAGCGACTCTCTACTCGTCTCCACTCTATGGCCAGCCTACTTCCGCCTGCTCTTCCGGTCGAGGCCCCCGTTGCCGTGCAAGGAGAGTACTTCCTCGTGGGCCACGCGGGGCATGCCGGGCCAGCAGCATGGATTCCCACGAGCTCTTCCGACGGCTCGGGGCCGGCGCCAGATTCGACGTGAAGCGCTTCAGGAGGGACGCGGAGCGGTTCAAGGTGGGTCCTGTGAACCGGGAGGACGGGGGACGAGGAGAGAGGCGGCTTTTTATTTTAAAGGAAGCAAAAGCCAAATTTGGGCAAACACCCACCCTGCTTGCGTATTATCACAGGCATTGTCATTAAGGTCTAATCTATTTTTTATGCTCCGTGGTAAACCGGGAGCTAGAATGGGTGGGTGGGCCGCCACAAATAGAAAACAAACAAATCTGGAATCATTAACCAGTTAATTAATTCTTTGCGCAACTTGTTGGAATATATGCAAGCCACTACCATTTTCTGTAAATAATCTTCAGTCAGCCTGATTAGAGGGACTGAGTAGGACATGTGAACCTATGCCAGGGGGCTGTTGAGCCCATAAACATTTCATCAACCCAGGTTTGCACATTGCACTCACAATCTCCGCTCAGCGTGATCAGATGTTGTTTACAGAAAACAGAAGTGGTTGGCAGACTGTGCAGCTCAGGTGCATGCATGTTTGAGAGATGTGGGACATCCTGTCTCACCACCTGTGGCGATTTATATATCAGTGCTAAAATGATTTTGTTACCACTAGTTAATGCTGTGCTTATGTGGATTCTAATTATGACCACAGACTGTGCTACTTACATTTCATTCCTGTTACACCCAACTTTTCACTTTTCTCCTCCTCTTCAATACATGTGGGTGTGTATCCTGCCAACTGAAAATGACTCTTCAGCTTATGAATTCTGGTTTGTTATTTATTTCCAAGTTTTAAAGGCCTGCCTACAAGCCCTTTAACAAAATTTCCAGGGGGTAGTTGTTGTTTTGCTGCAACAGAGTAAAACAGAGTTAAAGACTGATACATTTATTCTGGCTTTCAGAACCAGTTATATTGCATCTGATGAAGAGGGTAGTGTCTGTGAGAACTTGCCCCAAAATAAATTTGTTAGCTTTGAAGCTGTTCCAAGACTCTGTATTGTTTTTAATAAGAAATATCTTTAAGGTGCAATAAAAATCTTGGTTGTTTCTGCAACAATGAAAATGTTAAGGGATACTGACTTAATTCATGTTTTGCTGGCCTAGTGTAGAAACAGGCCAACTGTGACTGATTCAGTGTTGTTCAGTCAGGTTTGTGACTGTGTAGGGACCCCCCCCCCCGGGGGGAGGGGGGAAATAACAGCTCATTTGAAGCTGTTTTTAAATCAAGTGTAGCATTAGATTAAACACTGAAGAGGGATTGTGGGGATTATATGTAATTTCAGGTGATTAGAACAAAGGACAAAGACACTGATCTATCAGAGATTTTGGGAAATCTTGACATCTTTGCAAAGAAACAGCCTCCTGGAGCAAATGAGTCCTCCAAATCCCATGCTGAAGCACAAGATGAAACAGAGAAATCCACAGTGGTGGTGAAGGCCAAGGCGGTGAAGAAGAGAAAAGTGGATCAGCAAAGTGCTGAAGGGAGGAAAAAAAAGAAAAAGGCCCAAGGTGGGTGAATATGTGTGAGAAATTCAATTCTTTGTCCTGAATTTATAAAGCCCATAACAGTTGTGGCCTCTGTGGTGCCTGTATAATACCGGGAGAAAGTGCCTGAGCCCATAACCATGCAAAATCCTTAGCCTTTGTTTCGTCTCAAATTTTTGAAAGTTTTATATATTGTTCACTGGTGTGAAATCTAATTTGGATGTAAGTCTAGCCAGAATGACTAAGGTTGTGATCTTTTGCATCTTTAAACAGAAAAATAAGGTGACTGAGAGAGGCATGCTGGGAATTGTAGGACTTTTTTCTTTCTGAACATGCATGGGGCTGCATCCCTAAATGGTGGTTATACAGCAAGTGTTTTTCACTTATTTGCTCTGGTTTAAATGGTGGCTCTTGAAACTTTCAGAAGTGGATCCCGTAATTCCTGGTACTGATCATGATGGGATACTGTGGATGTCTGCTCTGGAAGCAAAACTCAATGTTCCAAAAAACAAGAGGGAGAAGGAGCCCACTATAGAGAAATTGAAACAAGCTAGACAACAAGAGGTGAGAACTTTCTTTGGAATATCACCTGAAAGAAAGCCAGTGTCTCTTGAAATAAGGAGTGACTGAAAGGGGAAGGTGAGCAAAAAAAGTACTTGGTGATTCTTGTATCAAGATTTTTTGGAAAGTATGTGATTAATCCTGCTAACGTTGTAGGGATTTCACTAAAGAAAGGGGGGATTTCACAGTTTTAAAAAAGAAAAAAGGTTGACCTATGTCATGAGGTCATGTCAATTTTTCATTGTCATTTACATACAGTATCTATCCCAACATAAGAATCACTGGATTGGATTCAGACTTTATCACGCTTGGAGTAGGCCTTTTGAAATCAATAGAGTAGCCGCATCCCATTGATTTCAGTTGTTCTAAAGTGCTGTTACTTGCTGGTATTTGTTCATCAGAAGGCATTTTTCACTGGGGTCTGCATTTTGAAAAAGCTCTTGTGCTTTAGTAAGGTGCTTTACTGAAGACGAAGAAGTGAAGATGTGATTTTCATAAGTACTCTTCCAGCTTTAATGTGTGTCTTTGGGTTTTCCAGATCAATCATTACCGAAATAAGCACAAGATCTACATTCAGGGAACGGATCTTCCTGAACCTATTGCTACATTTGAGCAGCTTAGAGAAGAATACAAAATCCATCCAAAGATCATGCAGAATATTGAAGCTGCTGGATTCCAGACTCCCACTCCAATCCAGTTGCAGGCGATTCCCGTCATGCTTCATGTGTGTCCTGGTTATTGTTCTGAGATAAGATGTTAACATTTTGCAAGGGACTTGACAAGAACTTATGTGCCGGCAAGGGATTTCTCCATTTGCTTCACAGGCCTAGTCCACACAACACAAACCTGTGGTTTATTTAACCCATGGTTATGCCCTTCCTGGAGTCTGTCTAGTGGATGATCTAACACATTGTAGTTTATTTGCTCAATCTCTGGGTTATTTGTTTCATTCTTCCCTTGACTTCTCCCTCCCTGCCTTTCAAATGCTTTTGCAGCATTCTAGTAGTGATATAGGGTGTGTGTTTTTCATCACTTTACCTCATAGGCTCTGGAAGATGGACAAAACATGGGCAGTCTATGGCTCAAAGAGTGGAGTTCACAACAAACCATGGGCTCTATTCCTGGATTGTTCATAGTTTAACCCTATTTGTGACTGTGTTTGCACATCAGGACAACCCAGAATTTAATAATCCAGAATTTGGGCTAGTGTTATGTGTGAACCACAGTTGGGAATGGCTTGTGCATGTATCCTTGTTGCACGTGTAAAACTCCCCCAGGTTTGAAAGTGAGCAGGAAAGACCACCCACCGCCATGGACAGGGCCTTTCTGTTCTCCATGGAGGACAGCGCTCTTGAGTATGTGCCTAGATTTTCAGTGGCAGCTGGATTGGACTCAGCCCACCAAACAGTCCTTGGGCAGTGTGGTGCAAAGGCCTGAAACAGCAACGTTGGAGGTCAGATTCCAGCTTTGACACCAATTTACTGTAGGCCACTGGGCAAGTCACACCCTCTTTTTATCAGTGGGTCTGCTGCTGCTGCTGCTTTGCAGGAGTGTTGTGAATTGAAATGGTTGGAAAGGTGTTTTGTGTGCTTCGGAATACCATCAGAACGATCACTCATAAGAAACGAAGCATTCCTACTTGCTGTGACCCTGTATCAGCCTCATTTGATGCTGTTGGTTGGTTCACTGATTTTTTTTTTTTATTTAGTTCTGCATAAACTATCTAGCCTTGTGTCTTTCTCTTTCCCTCTTCTCCACCTCACCAGGGTCGTGAACTTCTGGCCTGTGCTCCTACTGGATCTGGAAAGACATTGGCTTTTTGCATACCCATTTTAACACACCTGAAGCAACCGATGAACAAAGGGTTCAGAGCTCTTATAGTATCCCCCACACGGGAGCTTGCCAGCCAGGTATAAAATCACTCAAAATTTAAAGACTCATGGATCTGTGCGCTTAAAGCTAGGCATGTCAGCCACTTGGGTGTCTAGTTCTTCCTTAGTAAACTAAATTTGAGAATGACAAATATGTAAGAATAACTATCCACTAGCCAGGGAGTGTTGAACCTCCGACATGGAAGCCTTCCTTCCTGAAAGGGGAGTGGGAGAGCAATGGAGCTGCTGCTGCTGCTGCAGACACACATTCTCCACCGGGGAAGAGCCCAGACAGAGCGAGGCAGGATTGCCAACCAAAGTGCTGGCTGGAGAAGTTCCAGTCTGCATTTTAGCTGGGGGTCTGGCAATGCCAGAGATGGAGCCCCACACCCTGATGTCATCTGGCCCCCTGAGGGGTGGCAATTTGGCCTGTGGAATAGCAGCTTGGCTCCTCTGTCCTAACCCCTGACTAGCCTCTCTTCTTGGGGAAGTTGCCTTTGGCAGTTCTAAAGCACGTTTAGTTTGCGCATAGGGTTGTGTCTTATACTCAATCAGATTTTGTGCTTATCTAGCTCGGTACTGCCTGCTCTGACTGGCAGTAGCTGTTCCATTCTCTGGCAAAAGCTCTTCCACCATTGATCCTTTTGTCCAGTTGAAAAGCTGTTGCGAACCAAACCCCTTGTGCCTGTGAAGCAGTTGTTCTGTCGCACAACTTTGGTGGTTCTGCTGCTATTTCCCTGAAGATAACTGAGAACTGTGGGGAAGCCATCGTGTGATCACAGAGCACGTGCTTTGCGTGCAGAAGCCCATGGGGCTGATTCAGGCACGGCAAGAAAGCCTCCTGCCTTACCCCCTGAACACCGTTGACAGTGCTGGGCTAGATGGGCCGAGGGCCTCTAAGGCTGCTTCCTGCACTCCTCTACCCCTGTGCTCCTCTTGTCTTTCAGACACACAGAGAACTGGTTAAGCTTTCAGAGGGCACCGGCTTCAGAATACACATGATTCACAAAGCTGCAGAGGCCGCAAAGAAGTTTACAAAGAAGTCCTCTCAGAAATTCGGTAAGTTGGCTATAAACTAGGATTTCTAGATTTGGATTCTGCTGCCTGTTCACTTGTCCCTCTTGGCTATTTTAAAACTTGTTTGGGTCTTCCCATAGATGTTCTGGTGACCACGCCAAACCGACTCATCTATCTACTGAAACAAGACCCGCCTGCAGTAGATTTGACCAGGTAAATCTCAGAGCTCCCATCAAAGTAAATTCTGCCAGTAGATCTGCTTTCTTGACACATTCAGGGTGTGAGCCGATACTGTTTAAAAAGAAAAGGGTCTACAGGTCCCAGTATGCTTCTGGCAGCTATGTTGACTGGGAGATGCTCGGAGTTATAGGCCTTTGTTCTGTCTAAACTGGCATCATTATTATTATTATTATTATTATTATTATAACATTTCTATGCCGCCCCTTGCCGAAGCCTCGGGGCGGCTTACAACACAATAAAATACATTGAAATACAATAGAACATAATAACCATTAAATACAAAAATACACTGAGATGAAATACATGGTATTGTACCTTTACTGAGGTGTGCATACCTGCTTCACTGGCCACTTTTGCACAGACTAAGTTTTGCCCAAGAGCCAGACAGTATAAACAAAGCCACTTATCTTTGCACTGTCACCACCTGGGACGGAAGGGTCCAGATTCACACAAAGCCATGAAGCTCGCTGGGTGACGGGTCAGTCGCCATCTCTTCGCCTAACCTGTGTTACAGGGTGGAGAGCAAATTACGTACATTGCACTGGAAAGGTGGAACATAAATGCAATTAGTAAATAAACGCTCCAAAGCCTGTCAACTCCACTGTTCTGTTTTGGAAGATGTATCCACACCCAAGATCATTGCCTTTGCCAAAGACCATCTAGAAGATGAACCTTAGTGTGTATGTACGACTTGTAAATATTTCTTAGATCTCTACGTGGACGACTGCCTTCTGCTTTTCTGTAGGGTTGAGTGGCTTGTGGTTGATGAGTCAGACAAGTTATTTGAAGATGGGAAGAGGGGGTTCCGAGAGCAGTTGGCCACAATCTTCCTGGCGTGTTCCTCCCACCTTGTGAGAAGAGCCATGTTCAGCGCAACGTTTGCACACGACGTGGAGCAGTGGTGTAAGCTCCATCTCGACAACATCATTTCTATATCTGTTGGGGCAAGGTGAGTATTGCCTTTGTGTGTTGCTCCTTTCTGCTTGGGTGTTGCCATGATCCTGTTTTTAGCTGAAAAACCTGAACAACCTTCAGTCTCGGGTCAGCATGAATGCGTTGGTAATGTTCATTTCATTTCCATAATGCCAGTGGCTGAAGCTTGCTGTGCAGTTCACAACAATCCCCCAAATCACAAAACTCAATATATGTGCAGCAATAAAAGAAAACAGTTTAAATAACTAAAAACAATAGAGTAAATGTGAGACATCTTAAAAGCAGCTGACATAAATGCCTCATCATATGTCATTAAATACCTGAGAGTGAAGGGCAGTGTTGGCACCAAGTGGGTCTCCTTGGGGAGGCCCTTCCATAATAAGGTGGCCTTTACTGAGAAGACCCTGCCCTTTGTTGCCATCCTCCCAACCTTCCGTGGAGGTGGTACTCGGGAGAAGGCCTTGGAATTTGATCACGGCGTCCAGGCGCAATAAAATGTGATCATGCCCATTGGTATAACATCTGTAGGAGCCTAAAGCAGCTTCCCCTGATACAGGGCAACATAAGAGGACATACATAAATTGCTCCTGAGAAGCTGCACCAGGGTTAGAGCACGTGGACAGAAGACAACACCCCAAACCCAGCTTTTCCGTTGGGAAAGCCAGCTCGAGCGAAATAGGAGTTCGTTTTCTCACAATCATCGGAGTGCCGATGGTTCTTTGCATCTGCTCATGAACAAGCTGTTTTCTTCCGGTTTTGTCATCTACAGAAAGTTCATAGTTGACCACCATTCTGTTTGGGAGTGGTGGATTAGGGGGCTTCTAGCTCTACGAATCAGAAAGCATCGCGCAGGGAATCTGTCTTTCCCTTTTCAACAGATGTTTCGGTGGTGAGGGCAAAGAAGAAAGAAGCATTGACAAGACATGGGAGGCTTATGAGCAGATGAGATTATCTGAGCCTCCTTGCCATAAAATTGCTGTACAAAATAGTAAGCCTGCCCTCTCCTTAAGACTGACACAGCTACTGGTTTTTAATTTCAGAAATGCTGCAGCCGAAACAGTGGACCAAGAGCTACTTTTTGTTGGCTCAGAGATGGGGAAACTACTAGCCATGAGAGACCTTGTAAAAAAAGTAAGTTTATTCTTCATGGGGGCTGCATTACTCAGACGTCTTTGGTACTTTGTAAAACTTATGCTGCAGAATGAGAGAGTAGATTGAATTGTGCTACTTCAGGGTATACTCACATTTTTGAAAACTATTAAAACAGGGATGCAGAACTTCATCTCTGGGAGCCAAATCTGTCTTGCTGGAGATCTCAAAGACTCTCGTCCCTGACTTCTGCTCACTTGGAGGTTTCCTGGGTTTTTTGGTGTAGTTGTCTCTGATGCTGAAGACTGAAATGCTGCTTCTAAGGCTTATATGCTGGCAGTAACAGCTTTTACACTAAAATAAGCTGCTATTTTTGGGCCCAGCCCTTATGCGTTTGGCCCCAGCCACCACTGGAAGGCACCCCATGAGCTCCTCCAGAATGGAATCCAGTGCTTGGGCTGAGGTTCAACACCCCTGTTTTAAAAGAAGCCAGGGGTGTGTGCTGCGGTTTCCTGCATATCATTCCCATAGAAACGAGTCATAGTTTCTTGGCAGTTGAATGCAGCCACTCAGGGAGCCAACGTGAGGATTTTTATAAACTTGAAGATCACATGTGCTTTTTCTCTCAGTCCTGTGAGATACAGTTGGTGGTGTGTGTGGTTCGGATGGTGAGAGCTTGCTCCAAGTCCCTGCAGTTTCTTGGTCTTGCTGGGCCACTTGCTCTCCTGGTTTACTCCACCTGAAGTTTAGACGAAATGGCCAATAGGAGAATCTGGATCTTCCCTGGAGGAAAGGCAGGGTGTAAAAAAGGAATAAACAGCTCCTATAACATGTGACCTTGTAAGAAAATCACACTGATACCAGTGGGATTTGAGTCAATACGGATAGGATTGGCTGACAGTCTCACCATTGCTGTTGTTGAAGAATGTGTCCAAGTGCTCCTCGTGCTTTTTCGGCTGCCTTCCTCAACCTTTCTTCCCCCGCCCCCTCCCTCCCTCTCATATTCTTTCACTACAGGGCTTCACACCTCCCGTCCTGGTTTTTGTGCAGTCCATTGAACGGGCGAAGGAGTTGTTCCACGAGCTTATTTATGAAGGCATCAATGTGGATGTCATCCATGCAGACAGGACCCAGCAGCAGGTCTGAGGGAAGCTGCCCGGGGCAGCGCTTCTTTTTCCTTTTATCTGGAGTTTCCTTGTCCTTTCTTCCTGTTTCTGGATTCCCTGCTGCTTATTGAACTTCGCAGCCTGGTGCCCAAGGGAAGATGGGATCCAAACCACTGAGCGGGAGAGAGCTTTTCACAGAGGCTGATCTGCAGGGCCCTCTTCTGCCGCAGGGCATTTGTTCATGCTGATGGGCAGACCTGGGAGCTGGTCTAACATAATTAAGAGCATGAGCTGGGGAAAGGGCACGTGACCAGCACACCAGCACACCAGATTTGTACCCCAATTTAGACATGCCAAGTTAGCTCTGTTCCTGGCAGCAACCTCTCATTCTGGGATTAGACACTAAACGGAAGAACTACCTTGGCAGATGCGACTCTTGTATCTTTTCCCAAGGCTGGTCACTTAGGTCTCTTCCTGTACCTTACAAGCAGGCCTGCAAGAGGTAGCCACCCCCTGTGGCTGGGCTTCATGAATGTTTGAGTGAGCTGCAGCTCTGGTCTTCATAACCGTGTTAGTGCTTCCTCTCTCCAAATTGTCGTTACATCTTATGCCAACAAAGTCTGCAAGCTTAATTGTGTGTCTTTCAAGTGTTTGTGTGAAGTGTTTCCCTTTATTGTCCCTTCACTTATATTCAGTAATATTAAAGGTTTATTTAGAAGTGGGAGCCAGGAAAGGAGATTGCAATGGATATCAATTCCCAGTCCCCATCACTGTACCAAGATGGAGTGAGAGAGACAGCAGCATTGCGGCTTTCACGAAGGTTTGTTTTTTCCTTCCTAGAGAGACAGCATCGTCCACAATTTCAGAGCAGGAAAGATTTGGGTTCTTATTTGCACTGCTTTGCTGGCAAGAGGAATCGACTTCAAAGGAGTGAACATGGTTATCAATTTTGACTTCCCCAGTAGTGCTGTGGAATATATCCACCGGATAGGTGAGTTGGGCTGTGTTTTTTTTTTTGCAAGATGGGGCTCTAGGTTATTTCAGCCTTTTAGTGGAGTGGCCTTGCGCAGTCCTCGGCACCTCCCCGTTAAAATGCTCTAAGGCCGTTGCCTGTGAAAAGCCTCAGTGGCCAACCGGCAATGGATTTTCAGAGCAGTTATGGGGCCCTGTGCATGCCAGGCTTCAACAAGACTACTGAATGTGGTTGTTGTGTACAGACTTCAGCCTTCATCCCAAAGAGGGGAAAAAGCAAATTTACTAGTCCTCTTGGCTGAGAGGACATGCTTGAAAGTGCCTGTTGGATAGTGCCTGTTGAAACCAAAATGGCAGAGAGATTTCAGGGGATTTTAAGCAACTCGCTGCTTTTGCTTACCATTGTCTTGGTGCTCAGATTGATCGTGCTTTTCTCTGTGGCCACAAACAGCCTCTGGAGCAGAGTGATGTGTTGGAGTGCAACTTCCAGCATCCCCCGGGCAGCTCAAGGAAAGCTTGAGAACTTGCTCATGACAAAGTGGGAGTGACCACTCATTTATATTGGCGTTTTGAGTCAAGGGGCTCGTCAGGTGTTCAGGGGGGCCTCCTGTCCTGGCTGTGTGAGCCCTCTTTTACAACAATGGTTGACAAGTACCGCAGTATGCTAAAGAGAGAGGGTGTCCTTGTTTGTGGTCCTTCGACAGGTCGCACAGGGAGAGCCGGACACACTGGAAAGGCCGTGACTTTCTTCACTGAAGACGACAAGCCATTACTACGAAGGTGCCTCTTTTGCTGTTGATAACGCATGTAAACATTCTGCCTCCTGGTTAGCAACTCATTTTCTAAGTTACGGCTGAAGAGTTGCTGTGGCTGGCTGGCTGGCTGGCTGGCTGGCTGGCTATCCATCCATCCATCCATCCATCCATCCCTCCCTCCCTCCCTCCATCTATTTTTTGATTTATATCCTGCCTTTTTCCTCAAAGGGCTCAAGGCAGCTTACATCCTTCTCCTCCTCCATCTTATCCCCACAACAACAACCCTGTGAGGCAGGTTGGGCTGAGAGTCTGTGGCTGGCCCAAAGTCACCCAGTTGGCTCCATGGCTGAGCAGGGACTAGAACCCAGGTCGTCTGAGTCCCAGTCCCACGCTCTTAACCACTGCACCACACTGGCTTACTGATTCTCTCCCACACTGACAAATGGTTCTTGAACAGCCTCTTCCCTGCTGCTAACAATAGGGGTGATATGGGAAGCGTTCTTACCCATAGTTCTGTTTCTGCCCAGGAGTGGGGATAATTTAGTGGGAAAAACCTTGGGTGCATAAGAAGAGGGAAGGGCTTTTTTTTGTCTCTTCGTATGAAGCAGAGAGAATGAAAGCGTCCTTCACTTGTTGCTCAGTCTGGGAGATGTTGGTTGAGGTGTGTAAATAGTTTGTGATTGGAGAAAGAGGACTTCGGGGGCATCTTGTGGGAGGGTTTGCAAAGGCGTTGTGGGTAGGTTTCAGCCTTCAGTTGCTTACCCCAGCTAGGCTTTTGAAAGATCAAGAATGGGTACGTGTGAGAGAGACCGTTTCTAAAGCAGGGGTGCTGCACCTCAGGCCTTCAAGTCAAGCCCAAGTCTAAATTTATGCCTTTGAAGAACACCTGTGATGGGCTATTGGTAGGAGATGCGGCCAATTCTGTTCCTCTGACTTCGCGCATCGGGGAGGTTCCTGGCTTGTGTACCCTGTTTTTACCAGAGTGAAAATCTTTTCTAAGGCTTATTTACTGGTTCTAAGCAAAAAAAAAGTCTGCTTTTGGCCATAATATTACTAAGATCTTTCAGAGCTGCTCTGAAATGTTGTATTTGCATTGGAAGAAATTCTGCACACTTTCTCTAGAGGTGGCTCAGGTGGTTGGATCTGACTCCTTGCACCTTCCTTCCCTCAAACCCCTCTGTTTTCCTTGTAGCATAGCCAACGTTATCCAGCGAGCTGGCTGTCCTGTGCCAGACTACATCCGACATTTTCGCAAGCTGCAGAGGTAGGTTGAATCGAGACAGATGTTGAAGGGGCCGAGAGAAAACTCTCTGTCCTTTATGGCTGCAAACCATGCCTGCCTCATTCTGGTCAGCTGCCAGTGCTCTCATTCTCGTGATTTCAAAAGGGCATTTGTGAGACATAGTGTATTGGCTCTTGAATGCAAACAGGTGGGAGGACCCAGCTTGTACCAAGTTCAATGAAATCGTGCCCTGGTTACTACTGTACAAATTGCTTCTTTTCAGATATTGCACTGTGCAGTGGCAATGGCGGCCTTACTTGGTGTTACCACATGTGATTTGGAGTGGCAGTCTGAAGGGGTATGGGGAAAGAGTCCTAAGGAGCCCTGTGGGGAATTTGTGTAGAGAGATCTGAAGAGGCTAGAAGGAAACTGAGTAATCTGTGAGAGACAGGGAGTGAAAACAGCTATCCAGAAAAGACAGCAGGAGAAGCGGTTCCCAGTTCATGTGTCACAGCAAGAGGTGCTTAGCAATGAACAGAGAAGTGAAGGGGAAGAGGAGCACGTGAAATTTTGCCTGGGTTTCAGGTGTCTCTATTGGAGCTTAGGCTTGCATTGTAAACTCTGCAAATTGAACCGTTTTAATTCGACATTTTGTGTTCTTCATGTTCTGTTCTAAACTGTTTTAGAATAAAAGAAACTAATGTAAACAGAACAAAACAAACTGTTTCAAAGTTAGCTCATGACATGTTTCTTTTCTCTACTCCAATATTTTAAGCAAGCAAAAGAAGAAGCTGATTAAGAAGCCCTTGGAAAGGGAACACATTCTTACTGACCCTCAGTACTTGCAGCGGAAAGCCAAGAGAAAAAAGTAAGTAAAATATTCTTAGTCAAAGGCATTTTGGGAAGGATTGCAATTTCATTTATCCAATTAGGGGTGACAAATGATATGCCAGTTTTTCTTTGTCCAGGTAAACAGAAGAAGCTGCCTTAGGTTGAATCAGCCCATCTCTGTCTTAAAAATGGATTGTTTTGTGGTTTCTTGGCTTTTGTGCAATACCTCTTTTAAATCTTAGTGCTGGCAGCTATACATTGATACACAGGAACATAGGAAGCCGCCTTGGACTGACTGACTAAGCCCATTTGTCCATCTAGCCTAGTGGCGTTGACACTGACTGGCAGCAATGTTTTCCCAGCCCTAAGCAGGACCTTCTGTATGCAGTGGCGAGCTCAGTGCCAGTACAAGCGAGAACACAAGGTCCACATATTTGACTTGCTGTTCTCAGTTACCGCACAAGTTGAGCCTCTGTGCTAGTTGGCAAAACCCCAGGGGCTGCCAATAGTTGGTCTCACCCTGAGACCCCACTTGGAGGACAGGGTGGCATGCAAAGACAAGTGCCACCTGAGTGCCTGGAGAGAAAGCAGTGCTTTGCTTCTGAATGGTGCTCAAGCTAGATTTGCTGAGCTGCTGAGGAAAGAACAGGGTAGCACCCCCAGCGGACCTTCTCTTCCTCGGAAATATTCCAGTCCCTTTCTTAAATGCTCAGCTATCATTTGAAAGAAGTTTGTGCGACTGGATGATACAAGCAAAAGCACACAAGTAGTATTGTCAGTTGTTAGTTTTAATAAGCTGTACAAATCCGGTTCACCTGGCTGTAAAGTCCCTAATAGCTTGGGACCCTTCACCACAAGAAGACTGGCTGAGAGTCTTGAGGGAAGGAGTTCTTCAGTGCAGACTGGCCCCTCGTGTGCATTTGAACTTTCCACTTGGTCCAAGGGATGGTAGTTCAGTGGCAAAGCCCTGCTTTGTGTGCAGAAGGTCTAGTTTCAGTCGCAGGCAGGGCTGGAAAAACTCTTTCCTGGAGCACTGTTGCTCCCAGTCCATGTTGACTCTGCTGGATTAGATAGACCCAGGACCTGACGCAGGATAAGACCGCTTCTAATCCTCATGATAGTGTGCATATTTAAACAGAAAAGTCCTTCAGCTCCCAGCTTTTTGCAGCAAGTGTGGGGGCAGTAGGACTTTTCCCTTTGTTTGGGGTGCAGCAAGACTTTGCTGCGTTACTCAGAGTGGTGTGTAAAAATTTAAAGCAATGAGAATTTGGACAGAAGTGGTTGTTCCCAAGACTTGGGATACCTTTTTGGTGGAGATGCTAGGAACAGCACTGGGGACCTTTTGTATACGGAGTATGCACTCTTTGCACCTCTGCTACAAAAACCTTTTTGACAGAATTAACGGTGGCTAGTTCTAAAGGTTAAAAAACCTGGCATGTTAAATGTTCTTCTAACTTCATCCTTGTCCCTCTTGTTTTCTAATAGGATGATCGCTCAGAAAAAGGTAAAGAAGCATTCCAGGGATGCCAAAATTAGTAATGCTCAGGCACAGAGACGGCGCCAGAAAAACGATTCAGCTCCCTTGAATAATCAGTCAGAATAAGTGGTATCTATAGGAAGAGTGACTCCAGTAAGCCACGTGATGTTGTTTTGGGTGTCCATTTCTTCTTTCTGTGACAGCCTTAACAGTAATGGCAAACTGCCCGGGCCTGTTTCCTTTATGAAAGGGTTTGGGGACGGAGCTGCTCCCACTTGTGAGCCTTTTACTTTTGGCTCCCAGCGGGGCAGCTGATTGGCCACTGCAGGAACAGAGTGATGGATTAGATGGACTCTTTAGCTGGACCAGCGGGGCCCTTCTTAACTCCTTATTGCACGCAGTTGGAGCACATGTGCAGGAGGGCCTCCTTGTCCCCCATGGGTGATCAAAGTGTCCCTACTGCAGCCCTTCCCAACCTGATGCCCTCCAGATGCATTGGACTATAGTTCCCATGACTCTTGAGTCAGTAAGGCTGCAGATCCCTAACATGCAGGAGACTGTGTTTACAATCCAAAGCCCATCCTGAAAGAATTCACATCGTTTACAAATTATCCTCTTTGGGCAATTGTTGGATCATTTTGGACATAAAACTCCCAATAAACTTGCACCCAAATGGTTTCATGATGGCTTCCATATATTTCGTTGAAACACAGTTTGTCGCAGTGATGTGGGTTAAGCTGTTCGACGGGGAGGTGTGCCACTGATACCTGAGGTAGTCCTGCTGTTACTCAGCAGCTGACCTGCTCTCCCCACCTACACCTGCTGGCTCAAGTCTGTATCGTTCAGGTGGAGCCACTGTGTGACCTGGTCTAAACATACTCCTGAGGCCAGTACCTGCCTTTCCTTTGCCTAAGGTTACCTCCTCCCTTAACCCTGCTTTCCCGCTTTGAGGGCTCCATGAAAGGGCTGGGAAACAGTGACAGGACGTTTGGCAGCAGTTCAGTTGTGTGGCCCTTTCAGTGGAAAGGGTGTGTGTGGTTTCTGAGGGGGGCAAGTGTTGGCCCCATGTCTTTGGATGTTAACCACTGTAATCTATAATCTACCCCAGACTCTGCTGCCCGAAAGCAGGGGTGGGCAATGCATGCGCTGCAAGTCACACCCTCCAGTCATCTTTTATTGGCACTGCCACCAATTTACTGCTGAATTGTCACAGCAGCAGCAGCAAAAAACAAAAAAACAGGCTAGATCCTTGGTCTGATCAAGCATGACTCTTCTTAAATTCTAACCTGGTGCCTTGCAGACGCGTTGAGAATTTTGCAGTACTGAAACTGGAAGACTGGCGCTCTGGGTTTGTGGCCCCACTGTGACCTGAAGCTCAGTGGATGACACTCAGCGGGTGCTGGCACTCAGCCCAGCCTACCTTACAGGGTTGTTGTGAGGATCCTTGTGCAAGTGGTCTTGGGTTCATTGCAAAGGACAGAATATAAATGCGTTGCGGGGAAGCAGTTCGCAGCATGGCGAGTGAACAAAAGATGCAGGAAAGCTGGTGGAGGCCTTTGAAGGTGAAGTGCAGGGCCAGGCACAGTGGCCCAGCGGTTAGAGGGCTGGGCAGGCGACCCCGACGGGGGTCCCCCTCGGCCGTGAGGCTCATGGGGTGACTCGGCCAGTCCCCGGCTCACGGCGCTGTGCGCGGTGGGGGCGAGGTAAGGCGCTCCGGAATTCCTTGCAGGGAACCGGGCGGTGTAACGCCAGCACGCGCCTGGGGATGATGGGAGCTGCGTTCCGACCCAGGCTGGGGAGGGCTCCCCTGCCCGCGAGGGCTTCCCTCAGGGAGCGGGGCGGGGCGGGCGCCGTCTCGCCGGTGGGCTGGGCCGGGCCGGGCCGG